ATGCTTAATGATGTGTGCTCTGTTGGTGGTGACAAGAATCCCTGAGATGGGGTTAAGATGAAGCATAGGACTTAGGTCTGGGCCCAGGCTCTATACTTTTGACCAGTTTCAAGGGCACTCTAATGCTGCCTGCCCAATAGCAATGCTTAATGATGTGTGTTCTGTTAGAGGTGACTCCAGATGTGAGGCTGGAAACAGCCTTGCTGGAGCAGCCTACTGAAGAATTAGAACTAGGAAGGATTTAGGGTGGAAGCACTATGATATGGTGGGAGACAGAAGGCTTTGGAGTCAGACCCTTAGGGTAAGTGAAACCTGGTGCTGGAGGCGTTATTATCTGTGATGGGGTCAGCAGTGCAACTGTCACAAGAATTTTCTTGCTCTGGTGAGTTTAAAGGCAGTTTATAGTAGGTGCCAGGACACTGAGTCAGTAGTCAACAATCGGCACTTAGTGACGATTAAGGGCATCACTGGGAAACGTAAGCTCTCCTCTTGATGCTTAGGAAACTGATTTATGTCCATGTGCATGATAGCCCAGAAAACTGAAACTTAAATCAGCTCTGAGTACCAACTTCAGGCAGTTGGCTGCTGTTAATTCTCTCATGTACTAAATAATTGCATCACATGTCTAGCACCCTAGATCATGAGTAGGCTGAAATCTTATGTTCCAGTGCTCAGACTTTAAGAATTTGAAGAAAGCATACAAGTTTGTGTGCCTGTAATAAATCCAGACCAAAGCAAGTTGCTTTCTTAATAGATATTTATTTCTAACACCATAGTTTTTCAGAAGCAATGGAACTTTCAGGTTGATAGAAGCAAATGGGCACAAGCTGCATGTGAGTTTTATATAGCCCCCTGAGTTTGCCTGAACTTTCACCAACATTGTGGTCACTTACTGCTCCATATTGTAGGATAGTGGGTTAAGAAATGAGGAGAAACTGAAATCAGGGACAAGGCAAGGCTGCCCACTCTCTCCATAGCTCTTCAACATTGTTCTTGAAGTCCTTGCTAGAGCAATTAGACAACTGAAGGAGATCAAGGGGATACAAATTGGAAAGGAAGAAGTCAAAGTACCACTATTTGCAGATGATATGATAGTATACCTGACTGACCCCAAAAATTCTTCCAGGGAACTCCTACAGCTGATTAACACCTTCAGCAAAGTGGCTGGATACAAAATTAACTCAAAAACATCAGTAGCAATCCTGTATACAAAAGAAAAAAGGGCTGAGAAAGAAATTAGGGAAACGACAGCCTTCACAATAGCCACAAATGACATAAAGTACCTTGGTGTGAACCTAACCAAACAAGTCAAAGACTTGTATGAAAAAAATTTCAAGTCTCTGAAGAATTAGAAGAAGATATCAGAAGATGGAAAGATCTCCCATGCTCATGGCTTGGCAGGATTAATATAGTAAAAATGGCCATGTTACCAAAAGCAATCTACAGATTCAATGCAATTCCCATCAAATTACCAACACAATTCTTTACAGACCTTGAAAGAAAAATTCTCATATGAAGATATGGAACAACAAGAAACCCAGAATTGCTAAAACAATTCTCTACAGTAAAAGATCTTCAGGAGGTATCTCCATCCCTGATCTCAAGCTGTACTATAGAGGAACAATACTAAAAACTGCATGGTACTGGCATAGAAACAGACTGGTGGATCAATGAAATCAAATAGAAAACCCTGACATAAATCCACACACTTATGGTACCTGATTTTTGACAAAGATGCCAAAACCATTTAATGGAAAAAAAGACAGCATCTTCAACAAATGGTGCTGGTCTAACTGGATGTCTATATGTAGAAAAATGCAAATAAATCCAAACTTATCACCCTCACAAAACTAAAGTCCAAGCGGATCAAAGACCTCAATATAAAACCAGACACACTAAACCGCTTAGAAGAAAAAGTGGGGAAGAGCTTTGAACTCATTAGCACAGAAGACAACTTCCTGAACAAAACAGCAACAGCACAGGCTCTAAGAGCAACAATCAATAAATGGGACCTCATGAGACTGAAAAGCTTCTGTAAAGCAAAGGACACTGTTGTCAGAACAAAACAACTGCCTACAGATTGGGAAAGGATCTTCACCAACCCTATATCTGACAGAGGACTAATATCCAGTATATATAAAGAACTCAAGAAGTTAAACAGCAACAAATCAAGTAATCCAATTAAAAAATGGGGTACAGAGCTAAACAGAGAATTCTCTGTAGAGGAATATCGAATGGCAGAGAAACACTTAAAGAAATGCTCAACCTCATTAGCCATTAGGGAAATGCAAATCAAAACGACCCTAAGATTTTACCTTACACCCATCAAAATGGCTAAGATCAAAAACTCAGAGACAACACATGCTGGAGAGGTTGTGGAGAAAGGGGAACCCTCCTCCACTGCTGGTGGGAATGTAAGCTTGTACAACCACTCTAGAAATCAATCTGGTGCTTTCTCAGACAACTAGGAATAGCGCTTCCTCAAGATCCAGCTATACCACTCCTAGGCATATACCCAAAAGAGGCTCAAGTACACAATAAGGACATTTGCTCAACCATATTTGTAGCAGCCTTATTTGTAATAGCCAGAAGCTGGAAACAGCCCATATGCCCCTCAGTGGAGGAATGGATACAGAAATTGTGGTACATCTACACAATGGAATATTACTCAGCAATAAAAAACAAGGAAATCATGAAATTTGCAGGTAAATGATGGGATCTGGAAAAGATCATCCTGAGTGAGCTATCCCAGAAGCAGAAAGACGCACACGGTATATACTCACTCATATAGACATATAATATAGGATAAACCTACTAAAATCTATACACCTAAAGAAACTAATCAAGAGGGAGGACTCTTGCTAAAATGCTCAATTCCTATCCAGAAAGGCAAAGAGGATGGACATCAGAAGAAGGAGAAAAGAGGGAACAAGTCAGGAGCCTGACACAGAGGACCTCTGAAAGGCTCTGCCCTGCAGACTATCAAAGCAGACGCTGAGACTTAGGGGCAACCTTTGGGCAGAGTACAGGGAATCATAGGAAAGAAGTGGGAAACAGTAAGATCTGGAGAGGACAGGAACTCCACAAGGAGAGCAACAGAACCAAAAAATCTGAGCACAGGGGTATTTCCTGAGACTGATACTCCAACCAAGGACTATGCATGGAGATAACCTAAGACCCCTGCACAGATCCAGCCCATGGCAGTTAAGTATCCAAGTGTATTCCATAGTAATAAGAACAGGGACTGTCTCTGACATGAACTGATTGGCCTGCTCTTTAATTAACTCCCCCTGAGGGGGAAGCAGCATTACCAGGTCACAGAAGAAGACACTGCAGTCACTCCTGATGAGACCTAACTGACTAGGATCAGAAGGAAGGAAAAGAAGACCTCTCCTATCAGTGGACTTGGGGAGGGGCATGCATGCAGAGGGGGAGGAAGGGAGGGGTTGGGAGGGGAGAAGGGAGGGAACCACAAGGGGGATACAAAGTGAATAAAGTGTAATTAATAAAGAATTAAAAAAAAAAAGAAAAAATGAGGAGAAGAGTTCTGGGTTACTGAAAGAAGTCTCAACATGAAAGCTTTGTATTCAACAGAAGTCACTAGAATAGAAGGCTATGAGCTTCGGAAACTCAGTGCATGATGTCAAAAGCTCAAAAATAAGAACTTATCTGAGTTCAAGGAACCTAACTTGTTTTATTTCTAGAATGAGGCATGTTTGGACTTCACAAGTTTTAAAAAGTAAACAGGAAGATACCATGCGCTGACCAGTTTCCAGGGCATGCTAACATTGTGTCTTACAGAGCTGTGCTGCCCGGTGCCTTCCTTTCCTCTCACTGGCCTAGATCCTCTGCCTGCAAAACGCAGAGGATGGTCCTGGTGACATAGATGCCTACCTTCCTGCTCCAGATTAGGTGGCATGTTTGTGTTCCTGGTTGGTAGAATTCAGACAGTGATGGCATGTGGCCCTTTTGTAGATCAGTTATGCAAAACAGAAATGCAGTGTAGCAATAAACAGGCTGGCAAATCTCCTTCCAAAGAGAAGAACCAATAGGATGGGCATGGTGGGAGCTTAAGAAGAAAGGAGACTCCTGTGGCCTGTGGCCTCAGTCTCAGGGCAGGGAGAACAGGAGTTGAAGAGAGGACCCAATGGGGAAAAATGAGTATCAGAGCCCCGAGTCCTCAGCCCAAGCTGTGCTGTGAGCACCGCTGCAGCTGCTCTGTCCTGGTAAGGCAGCAGCAGCCCTGCCCCACCTGAATCTGACCTCAGCCATGGTTTATGCAGTGTGTTTGTTTGGGACTCAGTCACGATCCTTTACTAATGGTTGTCGGTGCAGGTGAGAGGTTTCACTGTAAATGTGGAAACGGACCAAGATGATTTCCTGACTTTGTAAGTTGTTCTTTATTCTACAAACCTTCCGGAGGCACCTACTTAGTTCTTCAGCATTCTGGCTCCCCAGACATGCAAAAAGATCCCACCATGCATTTGGCCACTCTAGTTCAATAACGTCCCTGTTAGCACTTTTCAAGCACTCCAGGAAAGAGAAACAACTAGCACTGCTCTAACTGCCGACCTCTTCTCACTCTCCACTTTGCTGACTCATGTCCACAGAACAAGAAGAAGTATATGGATCCCTCAATTAATTGCCTGACTTTTCCCTCTGGGCTTCCTGACCCTCGTAGAAGTCCCAGGGTATCTTAGAGGAAGCCAGCCTGACAACTGGAGCAACGCCATGGCAGTGGCAGGGAACACCACTGCCCGCGCAGTGTGTGCTACTTCAGGGGAAACTGATTTTCAATTCAGATGGCAGCTCTGAAGTTTAAGGAGAGGAGAGCGTTCAGTTGGACAAGCTCAGTGGCAACACTGCCCTGAGGGGAGAACACAAGAGAAAAACAGCCACAACAAAACACTTTCTAGGTTTCAAAATCCTTTTGTGATGTAAAGATTCCTATGAGCTAAATGTTAGCCCTGCTCCAAGACTACTGAGTTACAGTCCAGCTCTGGACTCTGAAACCCAGAAGGTTAAGAACAGATTTCCCTTCCTTGAAGCTGGCAGTTCTGGAGAGTTCAGGATACCGGTGGAGAGAAGCTCAGCACAGAGTCTTCCTGCAGGCAACATGGATCTTGGGCTGAACACTGACAATGGCTAAGCACTTTCAAGGAGATGAGAGGCACATCAACTGAGTATCAAACATCATTAAACAAAACTCACAAAGAGGCATTAAGTGACAGGCCAGCAGGTAAGGCTCTGCTGAAGGCCTGGCTGCCAGGAATGTGGCCTTGAAGGTTGAGGAAAGGCAAAGGTTTGTGCATCAGGGTAGACAGAGGCTTTGAAAAGACTCAGGAACAGAATGGAATGTTGTTTTGAAGGGTGAATAAAGGCAGAATTCAGGATACGTCCAAGTGTGGACAATGATAGTCCACATAATTCTCCATCACTGTTGTATTTTTGGACCGTCACAAATATATAGAAAAATAAGGATGTCCATCTACATGTTAGTGTATAACATGTCCATACATATCAACATGTGAAATGTTCTGAGGCTTCGACTACTTAGCTCAGAATATGTGCTCGGTTAACATGAAGCCTTCAATTTAATCCTTAGCATCAAGTAAGGGACCAATACAAAACCGCACTGTTCTGTCCAAATTACAAGGAACAAATTACCAGCACTGTTGAACATACTTCTGATATACTAAAAACATAAGGGATTAAGGGCAAGTTGGAAAGCTTTCCCCAGTGAATTACAGCTGAAAAGCATTAGAACAGGTCTCTAAGCTCTGTCTTCCCCAGGGGACCCTCAGTGAGGAGAAACCCACTAGCTGAAACAGCCTGTGTTGGAGAGGGAGCAACCGCACCCGGCTCTACAGTGAAGCTGGCTCCCAGGACAAGCTACCCACACGGCCACAGCTAACTCAACAGTTCTCTTCTGAAGGAGTAATAACTTACAAGTCCATTGCTGATGTTTTTCATTTTTTCCACAACACTCTTCATCGTCTTCAAGGCTGGTAAATAAATACTAACCTAAAACAGTAAGATAAATGACAAGCATCAAGAGATCTTAACACAGTCTATAATGACAGGTACTCAACCAAACACTGTGAATTACACTGGTACTTAAAAACTCACAATCACATTCTTAAAATTTCCAAAGAAAGTTCCCTTCAAACTTAGAAAATCTCACTAACCTATTCAAGCAAGTGAAGAAACCTAAATACCTGGCTCTGATTACCATGGTGACCATACTCCTAAGGGCATTGTTATGGTTCAAGAAGGAACACAGTATTTCAGCTGAGATACCTACATACAGGTCCAAGGAGAATACACCTCATGTGCTGAGCAAGAAGCCTTCCTCTGGGAAATACATTACAGGACTCAGGGGCCTTCTGTGTACTCTGTGTAAGAGCACAGCCAGCCATTATCACAAGTCATTGGAGCTACCAACAGTGCTGTAATGCTGGCTTTCCCAAAACCTATTCAGACACCTTCTAGTGAGAGTCAACTACATATTTCATCCAGTATCTGTTTAATTTCTTTTCATATATGCAAGAGACCAAGGACCATTTGGCATCATCTTTATTTGCGATGGCTCCGAGGTTCCTAGAAGCTCCACTGTTAACTGAAGCTTCAGGACAACTAGAATTACAGAATTCAGTCCCTGTCCTTATTTTGTGTTGAACAACAGGACTGCAGACAATGACACTTACGTCAGCATCTGGGATAGAGGGTTCTTGTAAGTCTTTCCACAGTCTTCTAGGAATAACCTTGATGGGGATATCATGCATCACGATTCTACTACTGCTTGATGAGGATAACTGCTAAGAAAAAGTTAGAATATTTTATGGTTTCAACGCTGAAAGTGAATCCAAACCATTAATTAAGAACTGATGCTAAACATTTTGAATTCCAAATGAAATCATGGAGCAAATGGACCAATAAGAAAGCAAGTGAAAAAAGCTGTACCAGCTACCCATAGGAACCTGAACGAAGCTCATCAGTGATGAAGCTGAATGAGGGAGAGCTTCTAGTGGGGAAGGGCTAAAGGGGAAGCGTGATACTTCAGAGGACATCAAACTAGAGAGGCAGACAGCCATCAGGAAGATGAAGTTGAAGATGAAGGGCAGTTTCAGGCAGAGGAACATTATCAAATCATAAACCCAGGAGACATTTAGAGGCAAATCTGCTGGGCCAAGGCAACCTAGGGACTACTGTGTGCCACACCCTCAGCATGCTGTAGCTTTTGCACTACTAAAAGGATAAACCATGTTCATCTCTAGAAGCGTCTCCAAAACTCAGAAAACACAGTATTTCTGGGCACAGTGGCATACATCTTCAATCTCAGCACTCAGGAGGCACGCAGATTTCTGTAAGGTCAGCCTGGTCTACATGGTGAATTCTAAGACTGCCCGAGCAACATAGTGAGACCCTGTCTCAAAACAACAAAACAAAAACAAACACAAAGAAACCAAAGATATTGCATTCTTACTTAGAAAAATATTGCACATTACCATCTTACTTTTCCTTAAGAAACTAAATAAATTCACCAGACAGTAGTGGCACACACCTCTGATCCCTGCACTCAGAAGGCAGAGGCAGGCAGAGCTCTGTGAGTTTGAGGGCAGCTTGGTTTACAGAACTAGTTTCAGGCCAGCCAAGGCTACACATAGAAAGCATATCTCAAAAAAACAAATAAGAAAAAAAGAAACTAAATAAATCCAAACTTATAGTTACATGGAATGCTCTAAGAACACATGAAAAATTATGAAACCATGAAATTAACTTCTATAGCCATGCACTCAGCCACACACATGTAGAGCACATAGAAGAAAGGAAAGCTCTAAGGATAATAGAGGCCCTTGTGGGTTGGGGCAGAGCAGTAAAGAAAGGAAAGTATTGGAGAGAAACTCCATGTGGAAAGTCCAATTGATGTCACTAGTCTGGGTGTTGCAAAAAAAAAAAAAAAAAAAAAAAAAAAAAAAAAAAAAAAAAAAAACACCACTCAGAGGATATTAATTTATCATTTGGCTCCAAGATAGTTTGTGCCATATGTGATGGGCTAGGAACATAGTGAGAATTACAAAATTCCATCTTGTATACGTATTTTTGTGTGTTCTGAGGAGAGGCTGTGCACTAAACTCATATGGTGGTAGCATCTAAGACAAATGTGTTACTTAAGTATGAGGACTATTTATTTACGACTATCGTAGAATATGAGATGCGAGGGGGGAAATATTAAAGTGAAAATGTATAGAATCATCTAGACAAGGTAACAACACCCTAAAAGAAAGAAATGCAGGCTAGCGGTCTGATTATTTGGAAAAAGCAGTATCCCATCGAACATTGTACCATCAGGACTATTTAAAAATGACTAGGACAATGTACATTTCTCATACATAAGTTAGGAAGTATACATTATATTTTATTTTTAGACAGGGTCTCTGTGCAGTCCTGGGACTCACAGAGATCTTTCTGTCTCTACTTCCTGAGTGCTGGGATTAAAGACACGTGCCACCACAATGGACTCAGCTCTTATATTTTAAATGAAACTAATTCACTTTCAAAACTATTGTTTGAAAGCTCAGGCTTATAACTACTTATATACTTCCTAGACCAAGGCACTTGTAAAATTCAGAAATCCTTCTCCCACTTACCAACTCCACAGACACAGTAAGACAGGGAAAGTGTTTGTTAGTCAGCTTGATTTTCAAGGCTCTGGCGTTCTGGGCAGTCTTCAAGGCCCGAGATAAGTTTTCCGATGTTAATTCTAAATAAATTTCATTGTTTTCTGCAGAGACTCCTTCCATTTGAAACTCACTAAAAATGTTCTCCTGCAGGACAAAAAAACAGGCATTTGTGGCCTTTCCAGCACTCTTAGTGGGAGCCCAGGGCCTCTGGGCATTTCTGCTTTGCTTACCTGCTCCAGCTCACACCACATGCTCACGCCTCCACTGGCCAGCTTGTCCGAAAGGATGAAGTTGAGCTTCTCTGGACTGATGCGGAGGGTGCAGGTTTTAGCAAGCTTGGCTATCATGTTACTGACCCCTACGGCGAGAGGGCAAAGTAAACACTTTCTCAGGTGCACATTGAGTATCCTACAAGTTATCTTGCAGAACATCTAGCTCACAGATCGCGCTAGTACTTCAATACCGCTGACATCTTATCAGTCCTTCAACAACGCGGCGGGGCACACAGGGTACAGCACCAAAGTTCAATAAGGAAACAGACTCAGAGAACTGACAACCGGGGACTAAGCGTACATTCCACCAAAAGGTAGGGACCGATGGGTACTGCAGAACAGAACTGCAAGCAAGGGGAGGCGTACTCCGGGCGGAAGAAAGTGAGAGAGGACTGCAAAGGGAAGGTCCCTGGTAGCCATCCTCCCCTCTCAGGGCCGCCCTCCCAGCCTACCCGCCCCAGCTGCGCCCTTCACCCCGCCGCTCATCTCACAGGGATGCAGCCGCACTCTCCGCTCGCTCCCCGCAGCCCTGCGAGCTCACGTGTGAAGTGATTCAGACAAGCCAGGTCCACGATCTTGGCGCGAAACTTCATGGCGGATTCCAGGCGGGCGGCGGCGTCAGTCCTAGGCGGACACAAGTCCCTCCCCGAGCGTCCCGGCGGGGAAACGCGGGCGCGTGCACAGAGGTTCCGCGCGGACGCTGCGGAAGAGAGGTCCGCCCGCCGCTTACCCAGGCCGAAGGAGGCTTGCCGACTCGGTGCCGCGGGCCACCCGGACTCTCACACCTAGGTGCAGAGAAGCGGCCTGTAAAGCTCATAGAAACCTGGCAACGTAGCATTTAAAGTTTTGAAAGTTGTTTGAAACGTTTTTAAACTTTGAACACATTACTTGGTAGGATACCCTGAAGGAAAACAGATGGGGGTGCTTAAGCAAAAAGATCAGAGGTCTTAGTGACATTAGATCAACAAGTATATTTTTTAAAAAAGAGAATGAAATAAAGTTGGAGGCAGGGAGGGTGGGGGGAAAGGGAGAGAAGAGGAAAGAGAGTAGGTGTGTGTGTTTGTCTGGAGACCGCTTACTGAACAGGATTGTGACCTTTACACTAATCCCAGTACCATGAACAAAGAAGAGCCTTCTTAGTATAGTGTCGTTAGAATTGTTTAAAAAGGATTTTTAGCCCAAGGTTAAAAATGGGTCTTCAAGGATTATAGCTGCAAAAATTTAAAAGTGGTATTGGGGCTTAACTGGCCCCTAGTCCTCCTCACTTTCCAGGTAAGCACACTTGCAATGTGCCTCATATCCAAGCACCAAAATATTCTTAAAGTCCTTTGCAAGTAACAGAAAAACAGGTCTTTGTGGTCCACTAAATGGCTCAGCAAGTATAACGGCCTGGGTTTGGGCACTGGAATACCAGTTTCTTTGTTTGTTTGGTTTGGTTTTTTAGGTTTTGGTTTTTTCAAGGCAGGGATTCACTGTGTAGGTTTGGCTGTCCTGGGCTCACTTTGTTGATCAGGCTGGCCTCGAACTCACAGCGATCCCCCTGCCTTTGCCTCCCCAAGTGCTGAGATTACAGGCATTCCCACCAGGCTTGGAATACCAGCTGTAATTTCAAAGGTTCTTTGACTTTCATGTGTGTACCATGATATGAGTATGTTCACACACACACACAGTAGATAAAAAAAATTTTTTTAATTTATTTTTAACTTGATACACAGAATTAAGATATTAATAAGACAGCTGATAGTGCAGACTATTAGTAAAGTGAAAAATAGGAAAACATATAATATGAAGCTAAATTCTTGTCTACACTATAACACGCAAGAGGTTGGCAAGCCAATGTCACATGAAATAAGATAATTTGTTATATATATATATTGGTTAAATGCTGTATTGTCTGTGTATGCATGCATGGACACAGGGTCATTTATGCCTTGCAGCTCATGTGAAGGTCAAAAGGCAACCTCTGGTTTCGGTACTCACATTCCACCTTGTTTGAGGCAGGTCTGTCTGTGCTATCAGCTATTGAATACCCCAGGCTAGCTGGAGCGGGAACTCTTGGGGATTCATCTCTTTCTGCCTTTCATCTCACCATAGGAACAATACAATTACAAATATTTGTTAGCCCCATTTGGCTCCCCTCCCCCCCCCCCACGTTCTAAGTGAGGACTCAAACTTGGTTTCTTGTGATTCAAGGCAAACAAGTGCTTTACCCACTGAGCCATCTCCCATTAATAAAGACTGCATTTAAATAAACTTTATGAGCAGTGTGCCATTATATCTGATCTTTATTTTAAATTGCTTAATATTGTGTAATAAAAGGACAATACATTTTTTTTTAATTCCTAAGAAGAGATGTACATAATGATGATGATGATGATATGTTTCTTATTGATGGGTCCCTAGATAATTTTATTTCACAAATATATAAATAAGCTCTGATAATCTTTTCTTAGATAAGAATGCTAATCTTATATATTCTTAAAATTAAGCTAAGTAGGTTTAGAAAGCTAAGTCAGGAAGGGCTTGATAGCGCATGCCTTTAAGTTCCAGCACTCCGGAGGCAGAGGTAGGCCGATCTCTGTGAGTTTGAGGTCAGCCTGGTCTGCAAAGTGAGTCCTGGACAGTGAGGGCTATTACACAAAGAAACTCTTTCTTGGGGGAAGGCAGTCAATTATTTCAGAATTGTTAATTAAATATACTGACATTTCCATATTTTCTTTCCAAATAATTTTATAAAAAAGAGAGAGAATTTCAGAAGTCCTATGTACCCAACCAATTTCTAGTGCAATATCTGCTTGTTATTTTCCATCTAGCTAGCAAGTGGATTTTTGATTTTATAAAGTTCAAACCTCCAGGGTAAGTAACTCAGTCACATGAAAATCTGCAGAGCAATGTTGGTGTCATGTTTACTTATTGGGGAGCAAAACACAGTACCTGATCTTGTCTTAGAAAAGGAAATACCTTATGCATAAAATGACACCCAGTATATATAGCCGGAGTCAGAGACGACCTTTAGAGCTGCAAAGATATACTCCCTGGGTAAGCGGCATGCCTTTATGGTTACCCAAAGCTCCAGTGGTGGTGTCTGTCACCTTCACTAGTCTCGGGTGGTTGGGGAAGAGGTGGGGAGGAGAGACTAATTTATTTGCAAGCTTGTTAATAGTTAGCATTGGAAAAATTGCCCCAGAGGGAAAGTAAGTGGCATCATTCAGCGCTTCTACAGCAAGTCTGGGAGACAGTATTTGTTTTGTTTTGTTTTTCACACAAAAAAACTGTGAGGTGGAAACTCGCACTGTAGAGGTGGCAAGAGCGAGTGTCTTTTTGGGAACCACCGTCATCTAAGGACTGTGTTTCTGCTTAAGCAGCTGTTCAAGTGACTCATCTTTTGTATGTCAAATAAAAACACTTCAACTGGAGGTTTTTAAAACTGCATTTATACAGCACTCTAGAACTATTAGGCAAAGTGCAGTAGGATGAAGACTTGAGGATCACATCCAACTCAAAAGGAAATGTGATCTCCTTGTTTTGTTATTGCTGAGTAATATTCCATTGTGTAGATATACCACAATTTGTGTATCCATTCCTCCACTGAGGGGCATCTGGGCTGTTTCCAGCTTCTGACTATTACAAATAAGGCTGCTACAAACATGGTTGAGCAAATGTCCTTATTGTGTACTTGAGCCTCTTTTGGATATATGCCTAGGAGTGGTATAGCTGGATCTTGAGGAAGCACTATTCCTAGTTGTCTGAGAAAGTGCCAGATTGATTTCCAGAGTGGTTGTACCAGTTTACATTCCCACCAGCAGTGGAGGAGGGTTCCCCTTTCTCCACAACCTCTCCAGCATGTGTTGTCTCTTGAGTTTTTGATCTTAGCCATTTTGATGGGTGTAAGGTGAAATCTTAGGGTCGTTTTGATTTGCATTTCCCTAATGGCTAATGAGGTTGAGCATTTCTTTAAGTGTTTCTCTGCCATTCGATATTCCTCTACAGAGAATTCTCTGTTTAGTTCTGTACCCCATTTTTTAATTGGATTACTTGATTTTTTGCTGTTTAACAAAGAAATCATGAAACTTGCAGGTAAATGGTGGGTCTGGAAAAGAGATCATCCTGAGTGAGCTATCCCAGAAGCAGAAAGACGCACACGGTATATACTCACTCATATAGACATATAATATAGGATAAACCTACTAAAATCTGTACACCTAAAGAAACTAATCAAGAGGGAAGACTCTTGCTAAAATGCTCAATTCCTATCCAGAAAGGCAAAGAGGATGGACATCAGAAGAAGGAGAAAAGAGGGAACAAGTCAGGAGCCTGACACAGAGGACCTCTGAAAAGCTCTGCCCTGCAGACTATCAATGCAGATGCTGAGACTTATGGGTAACCTTTGGGCAGAGTGCAGGGAATCTTAAGAAAGAAGTGGGAAACAGTAAGATCTGGAGAGGACAGGAACTCCACAAGGAGAGCAACAGAACCAAAAAATCTGAGCATAGGGGTATTTCCTGAGACTGATACTCCAACCAAGGACTATGCATGGAGATAACCTAGAACCCCTGCACAGATGTAGCCCATGGCAGTTCAGTATCCAAGTGGGTTCCATTGTAATAGGAACAGGGACTGTCTCTGACATGAACTGATTGGCCTGCTCTTTAATTACCTCCCCCTGAGGGGGAAGCAGCATTACCAGGCCACAGAAGAAGACACTGCAGCCACTCCTGATGAGACCTAATTGACTAGGATCAGAAGGAAGGAAAAGAAGACCTCCCCTATCAGTGGACTTGGGGAGGGGCATGCAAGCAGAGGGGGAGGAAGGGAGCGATTGGGACGGGAGGAGGAAGGGAACCACAAGGGGGATACAAAGGGAATAAAGTGTAATTAATAAAGAAAAAATGTAAAAATAAAAAAGCAATTAAAAAAAAGGAAAAGTGAAGCATTTGCTAAAAAGGTGCACCTAGGGTGAACATTCTGCAGACTGCTTAACTGCTTTGAACTTCTATGAAAGACGATTAGAGTTGCCGCTTTGAGAATCTGTGTTAGAAAGACCCACCTTTGTCATAAGAGTGGCAGATATGTTTCCATCTTGTTTAAGACTTTATTTGTAATGCTGTTATTTTTGTAGAATTTTTATGCGTTTGTAGCATTCTCTATTCAATATTATACAGGAATTAGCCCCGGTTTTCATGGTTGCATTGCCAACTTGTAAATATTTTTACCATGTTATATCAGGGATTTATCCCATTGTAAAGTAATAAAGAAGCAATTTTGTTTTAGCGGCTAGATAATAATTTCAAGCCATTTGCTTTGTTGTGCTCAGATGTTATGCTTATACGGTTTGTCCTCTCCTTTGTGTAATAAATATTAGTGGGTAGGAGTACTAAGTGGTGATTATGGCTCTGCACTCATTGACTGGTTAACCATTCATATGGCTTTATGGGATTCATGTGGGATTATGGCTTATCACCAGCGTGGACTGATATAAGAGCTGGTTTGGATAGGTTGTGTAAACTCCTTGCTCTTACCATGTGTTACCCAGAGTCTTGAGACTACCAGCACGAAAACCACTGACAAATGCATCCTTCTGAAAGTGTACCAGAACCATGAAAAGAAATAAACGTCTTTTACTTAGAATTTACCAGTTCGTAGTGTTGTCACTCTAGAAGGAGAAAACTAAGACTCCATGCCTGTGAGTTTGCACCTTGCTGCATACACAGTCCCCACAGTTATAAATCTTAGACTTGTTAGTTGCACTAAGGTGTTGGCGTGCCAACACCATATGTTTCTGACTATAGTTTTAAGGCCTTGCCACAGAACTTCTCTGTCTGATTTTTTTACAGGTTTCCATACATAATGTTGCAAGTAAATCTGAAACAACATGGAAACATACCTGCTACTCATATTGCAAAGGCCAGCCTTTGTAATACAGATCCCCCTCCCCCAAATGATAGGTGGGTTGTTATGAAATTTAGAATCAAGTTACTCTACAACACACTGTTGAGGTATAAAAATTACGCGTATTTTTCTTTTCCAAAGCCAAATAAACCTTGAAATATCAACATAATTGAATGTAGACAGAACAGAATAACAGTCTCCATGGAGTAGCTATTTTCACTTCAGTGATCATTTCACAGTCATCTTCTTTTTCCACCATCCCGCTTCTTTTCTTCCCTCATAGAGTTAAAAAAATTCTCCAAGGAGCATCACTTCAAATGTGAATACTTAAAATAAATTGAGCCATTTGATTTTTTCACGTATTTATTTTGTGTGTTGCATGTGGATGTGCGTGCGATGGCATGCGTGTCCTGGCCTTCATGCCATGATCTGCATGTGGAAATCACAGGGCAGCTTGCATTGGTGCTCTTCATCCTCCATGTGGCTTTCAGGTGAGTCATCCTGATGGCCAAGACGTGTTTCTTATTTGAGACAAGTTCTAATTATCCTAGGCCAGCCTCAAACTCAGGCTCTCCCTGCCTCAGTTTCCCTAGTACTGGAATCCCAGGTGTTCTGCCTCTACGCACAGGGATAATTCTTTTAAAAACAAAAGTGTATCATTTTCACACATATAATTATGAATTATATTTTGGAAATAATTATTTTTGCTTCACTGGTAGGGATAGAATCCGGGGCCTCACACATGCTAGCCATATGCTCTGTTCTGTCCCTGCAGGCGAGCTCCATTACCCATTACCATCTCATGACTGCTCCATACTGACCATAACTTTCCAATTTTAGTTGAGATCATTATTATTCTAAATTAGTTAAGAGAGAATGGGTGTCTTCACAGCTGAGTCGAGCTTGTCATTTTTTGAAAACTTTTGCTTTCTGATGCAAAAGGCCTTTCCCACATACACATTCTCCTTTATTTTTTACCTGATGCTTATGCTCTTTGCTTTGGCTTTTATAAATTAAGCCCTTGATCGAATAGTTGTTTTGTGTGTGTGTGTGTGTGTGTGTGTGTGTGTGTAACTTTGATTTACATGTGGTAGCTTCACACCTATCAGATTAGTAGAGTTTCTACTTGTTTGTAATTTTTTTTAAAGTATGTATTTATTTATTTTGTGTTGGAGGTTCAGAGGACAATTTTAGGGAATTGATTCTCTCCTTCCACCATGTATGGTCTGGGGGTTGAACTCAGATCATCATGCTTAGCCACAAAGGTTCTTTACCAGGTGAGCCATTTGACTGGCCCATTTGTATTTTCAGGAGAACAGTACCCAATTTTGAGGAGTCCATCAAACTATCCGAAAATATTCATGGCCTGATTTTGTCATGAACTTTTATCTCTAACTTAAATATTACTTGTGGCTTTTCTGCTTTCACTGCCCAAAGCCTGCAGCTTGGTGTTGATAACATGGTGATAGTGAGCATTGTGCCTGACGTAGGAGAAGAAGAACTGACCGTGCAGAAGCTGTGGTGAGAATGACTTCCTAGTGAGACCCTCTTCTATATACAGATTCACCTCTGGATGCTCAAGGCAAAGTAGATGGATGTCAGCTTGATTATCTTTTTTTTTTAATAGTAAAATTCATTCACTTCTTACTGCCTAGTCGGAATGAGTTTGAGGCTTCCCTCCCACTCAGTCTCTGAGTCTTGGGGGTGCAATCTGACATAAGGGAATAATAAGCATCCTTGGACATTCTGGTTGCACGGCCACCACCTTCTGCACCGACTCCCCTAAGTGTGATCACTGGGAATGCCGTGGACTCTAAATCTGTACAAACAAGTATACTTTGGATGTCCCCAGTTGCTAAGGATTTGAAGTTTCACACATAGCAAAGATTCAGAAGCTTCATTCTGGAAACAAAGAAAAGAAAACATGAATGACTTATAAAAGTTCCTTTTGACGAATCCCAATGAATGCTGATAAAATGGGGAATGTGGGAACCTCCTTTTTTCCCTAACACAAGTACATCCAAATGGTGCTCTAATGGGTGAGAAAATGAGCTCCTGGAAGGAAAGATACCATGAACACATAGATACAGGAGGCCCAAATAGGCCAGTGACTCCCACTGCTGTTGTCTCTCCTCACACTCACTGCTGTGCTAGCAAAAGGAGAGTTGTATGAAAACCAGACCTCTTCAAACCAACTATGAAGGCTGAAGTAGAAGAATCATGAGTTGAAGGCTAGCCTAGGCTACCATAAGAAAGACCCTGTTTCATAAAATAATATTCAAATCAGATATAAAACTCAAACATGTTAATTTATGACAGTTAGTCACCCTTTGGTATCTAGAAGAATGGTTTCTAGGACCTCCTGTTGAGGATAGATCCATGGGTGCTCAAGTTCCCAATGTAAAGTGGCATACTATGTGTATATAAGTCAGGGTTGGTTTTCCACGTAGCTAAGTTCATCTTAAGATATTTGATAATCCTGAACACAGTGTAAATGTTATGCAAACAGTCGCTATGTTGTAGTGTCTAATACACACTAACAAGGAAAATCTTTATGTGTTTAGTACACATAAAGTACCTGCTTTTCTCCCAAAGATTTTTTCCATTGGTGGTGGGATTCTGGGTGTGAGATCATTGTGTGCGCAGAGCTTCTCGGGCACTTGGTGAGGGTGAGGGGGCTTGGATCAATTTCACTGTTGACCAGGAAGTATCATAAACACTTAGGCTTGCCTAGTATGGGAAGCTCTCTACATCTCTTCAGTTACTTCCTGTGGCTAACTATAAATAAGAACAGAGATTTCACACCCTTTAGTGCAGCTCAGTGAGTTCATCAGTTAACAGTTGGCGTTTTCCCTCGTTGGTTTAGGAGGAGACGTTTTATCTATACTATCTAGCATTAAATATTTACTGAGTTCCTCTCTCCACCTCATACTACACTTTCAAGGCAGGTGAGAGGCACTATCAAACTGAATTGCTCACGTAGTAGATTGCTTCCTGTGCATGTGTGCTGGGTGCACTATTTAAAAAAGACCAAGAAAATCAATATCTAGGGAAACAACAGCAAGGGAAAATGAGTTAGAAATTGTTTTGTAATTGCCCATCTCTTACAATTAATTGTACACCAATAGCATACAATTAAATGGTGTGCATTGAAATTTATGTATGCAAAGAACAGAAGTTATGACAGCCTTATTTAGCTTGTGTTTTTGTCATAACTAGTTTCAGGTAGCAATTCCAGCAAACCCCTCTTACTGGTGAAGCCAAATATAACAACATTTTCTAATGGATAATTACCTGGAGCTCAAATGTTTGAATGGTTGTTTCCGTTCTGTTATACGTAAACTGACCTAGGAAAATTTCTTCTCCTTCACATTTTTTCATAACGCCCTGCAAAGAAGACCACAGATATGGGGGCTATCATGAGTGGGTGCTTGGTTGAAAGAAATGGTTGCAGGTATCCACGTAGCAACAGTTCGCCAGAAATTGCATGTGCTGGGTCTGGGGACCATGGGCTCAGTGGATAAGACTGCTTGTTGTACAAGCTTGAAGATTTGTGTTCAAGTCCTCGGCAACACGTGAAAACCTGGATACGGCCACCTGTGCCTATAACCCCAGCATCAGGGTTCAGAGACAGATAGAACCTGAGAACTGGCTGGCTGGCAAGCCTTGCCATGATGACAAGTTTCCAGGTCAGTGACAGACACTGTCTCAAAGAAATAGGGCCAAGAGTGAAGAGCAATAAAGGAAGTGCTTGGTTCATCAATTCTGTAATATAGAAGAAAAACGGGAAGTACTTGTTATTGCTAAATGATTCCTGCGTGGAGGAACCAGCCAGAATGTCTGCAAATAAGGAATAGTAAGTAGTTCATAAACACAGAATGGGCAGGGACAGCCAAAACCAATCCCTAACTCAATACTGCAATGAATGTGAGAATTGGATGCTGGAGTCAAGAAACCTCAGCAGCATGGAATTCGAAGCATTGGTGGGTACAGGAAGTATATACTCTCCTGTAGCCAATAACATAAAAGGACAGAGGTAAGACCGAAGACTTCGAGGAAAAATGGGAGTAGGCCCTCAGACAAAAAAACATGGGGAAGGTCAAAGGGCAGCAGATGGAAACACAAACTCCTGTGGCTTGAGGTGAGACTAGCACCACAGGGACTTGGACTACAAGCCCAGAAAGGCTTGGGATCTGGGCCATGGTTTGCTACAGTACGGAGAAGGGAGAGACTCAGAGGTGAGACTTGTCTGAGAGCGATTTCAATAAGCCTTAGGGGCCCTCGTTCTGTGGCAGTCCCTGCCCCCACCATCAGTCCACATCAAATCTCTTTTCCTGAGCCAGTTGGTTGTGCAGCTGAGGTCTGTCCTGGACTCTTCCTGCTGGGGAAACAGCAGGTTCCAGCAAATCAGCCAAGTCGACAATTCTCACACGTGGGAATCCTTTCAGAGTCAACTAGACTGACTATGTAACCAGTCTTCAAAGGAGGATCAAGACATTCAAGAAAAGCTACTTATAAGATCAAAAGAAACACTGTACACAAACAGAAGATGAAACCAAACTCAGATACCAATTCATATCTTCAAATGCCAAGAAGACCAAACTGCAAACATCAAAGAATGTGATTAAACTCTAAATAAGCACCATCTGTGGAAACCAGAGTCTTAGCATAATTATGATGGGAGAAGTGAACATTTTAACGTAAGAGTTCAAATAAAATAAATGCAGTCTTTCAGAGATGGAATATAAATGGAAAAGAAAAATGAGAAACAGACTTTAGGATGCAGGAAGGAGACCCTACAGTAATAGACATACTCCAGGATCATCTAGCCCTCATCAGATTGGAGCCAAACAGTAGAACAACTCCAAAGGGGTGGGAGGAAGAAGTGAGGGAGAAAGAGTAAAGCACCATTCACCTGACTGGAATGAACAATGAGAGAACATGCACCTCTGACAACTGTTTTAGAAACAGAAATGTAACAAAGTGAGCAAAACAGACAAACTGGTGGCAAATACCTTTGGAAATACTTAAAAAGTGTATACAGTAAAGAAAGCAACTTTGAAGTGCTTTATGGCTCGACAGAGAACCATGCTGAGTAGTCACCAGGAAAACACTGGCCACTGATTGAAACAAACAAACAAACAAACAAAAAAAAGGGGGCACAACTCTCCTCAGAGCCTCAAATATGAAACACAGACTGTGGAGTTCCAATCCAACATGTATTCCCTAGGAACCAAACCCAACATCCATGGAAAAACCTTGCACATGAATATTCATAGTCTCCTTATTTATAAAGCCCCAAATCTGAAAATAACTCAGATGTCTACCAACTAATGGTTAAGTAAAATACAAACAATCAAATATTTATTTTTTGGTTTCAAAAAAACCTCAAAGATTGACAGGTGCTACAACATAGCTAAACCTTGAAAATACAGTGTTAATCATTCACCAGAGAGCACATACAGTATGATAATGACAATGTTCAGAACAGGCGAATTTATGAGTCAAAGTCCACTAGCGGTGGCTAGAACCTAAGGATATGATGTGGATGATGGGGTGAGAGGTGAAGATTAAGTAGCATAGGGCTCCTTTGGGAGGCAACAAAAATGTTCTAAAATTGTGACAGTGGCTACATAACTGTGAGTATACTAAAGCCACAAAGTGTGCACTTCAAATGGATGAGTCATATGCTATGTAAATTATATATCTATAAACCTGTTTTATAAGACAGAGCTATTGGATGGGCAGAGCCACAGAAAGGAGGTGATTTTCATATTTTGCTGAAGGGGAGCCATCAAATAATAGCCAACGATAAAAAAAAAAAACAAGAAAGAATGGTAAAAGAAAATGTAGAAGCAGGCACCTCATTAACAGATGAAATTGCTCGTAATGGGAGCTTTGGGACAAAAAGAATTAGGAACTGGGGAAAGGAGGAAGGTGCACTACAATGTTTGTGTAAATACCCAACCTTTCAGGTGTACACATATGACTGTTTGGTTCTGTAAAGCAAAAACTTAAAGTCAAGCATAGAAACCATCTGGTCCAATCCTCTCATTCTGTAATGCAAAAGCCATAGAAGTCAGAGGCACAAATACTTAGTGCAAAAAAATGGCAAGGCAAGCCTGCGGCTGGAGGTATATAGCTCAGGAGTAGAGTGCTAGCTTGGCCTACAAGAGGCCATAATTTCAATCCCCAAAGACACGACTGTAGCTCCTTATTCCTAGTCAAACACCCTCTCTATCAACCCACTCCCAATGACAGATTTAGACAGCGTCTCACGTAGACAGAGAAATCCTTGGGTGCACTTGAGATGTTTCCTGAGGGGGACACCTTCTCAGAGATGTGTTCCATGGTAACTGCTGTTGGGATGATCTTCCTGGCAAGCTTAATCAAGATGTGACCCTGGGAACCTGGGAAGGCCCAACACTTTCCAGGGTGGACATCTGGCTGGAAAGAAAACATTAAATTAATCTCTTTTCTGGGTGCATAAACCTAACCTTTCATACTGAGCAGTTCATCACTACCAACTGTAAGACCCTTAGGGTAGAGCATGAAGCCTCAGGACGCATATCAATGGGAGACCTTCCCAAACACCCTAGGTCTGCTTGTTCATCCAGAGCACTTTATGCTTCTGTCCACTGGAGCCTCTGTCACAGCAGTGTGTTTGCTTTCACTGCTGAAAGGCAGCTAGAGGTTAAAGCGCTGCTGGTGATTGATGGTGGTGGTGATGGTGAGGAGTGAGGAGACAATGATGTTTATGGTGGACACGATGATGGTGGCAAAACTGACAGTGATAGTGGTATGGGAAATGAGGGTGAGTGCAGTGAGAGCCGATAGGGTTGATGATAATGGTGGCTAACGATGGTGATGGAGGTCCTAGCGGTAAAGAAGAAAAACAAAATATTTCTTTTACTAGATATAAAATGGTAGCCTGGCAAGGAGAGAGTGTAGGTTTGTCTTTGAAGAGACTTTTAAATTTGAAAGCAATGCCTGACATGGGGCTCATCATGTGTTGACAGTCATTTTCTTTCCAAGTGAGTGAGAATCCTAAATGGCAATTTCTGACACAGTCAACCCTGTGAGATCATGTGATTGGCATAGCAGCTAATGCCAGACTGGCATTTGCAAGACAGCCTCTTTAACAAATGTTTGTTAAATGACCCAAAGTTCTCAGTGAGAAAGGAGAGTCACAGACTCGACAAAAATGAAAGGTATGCAATTATATGTTTTGACAAAGTCTACTTCTGACTTTAAGACATAATAATAATAGTTTAGTACTCTAAGATAATTTGTGCAGTATAATGGCTTAGAACTGTAAAGTAGTGTCTGGGTCCTTGTAGGCATTGTGATGTTCTTGCCTCCATTTTAAACATTAATACAAGTTGTCATGTTTTATAACAAAATCTTCTTTTTTTTAGGGTTTTTTTTCTTTATTAATTACACTTTATTCCCTTTGTATCCCCCCTGTGGTTCCCTCCCTTCTCCAGTCCCAATCCCTCCCTTCCTCCACCCTCTGCATGCATGCCCCTCCCCAAGTCCACTGATAGGGGAGGTCTTCTTTTCCTTACTTCTTATCCTAGTCAATTAGGTCTCATCAGGAGTGGCTGCATTGTCTTCTTCTGTGGCCTGGTAAGGCTGCTTCCCCCTCAGGGGGAGGTAATTAAAGAGCAGGCCAATCAGTTCATGTCAGAGACAGTCCCTGTTCCTATTACAATGGAACCCACTTGGATACTGAACTGCCATGGGCTAAATCTGTGCAGGGGTTCTAGGTTATCTCCATGCATAGTCCTTGATTGGAATAGCAGTCTCAGGAAAGACCCTTGTGCTCAGATTTATAACAAAATCTTAAGATAGGTTTTGGTGTCCTATTTAGCACTTACCTGAAGGATCATGTCTGGAGGCATCTCATAATTGAGAAACCCTATCCCATGCCAGTACAGTTTTGCTTTATTGTTTTTGTAACTTTCTGAGGTCCCAGCTTCAATGACAGATGCTCCTAAAATTGCAAAATATTTTAAACTTTTGCATAAAGCTTAATACATGACATCTTGATTTTAATGATATTCCTGAAAAGCTATTATTGGAAACATCACAAAGTCAGATTTATACACAGAACTCGAGGCTGTTCTACTGACATTCTATCATTTTCAAAAAGATGTTTGCTCATTTGTTTCTTGGTTTTGAAATAGAGTCTCACTCGGTACCGAAGGCTGGCCTTGAACTTGTAGCAATCCCACTTGAGCTTCCTAGTCCTTAGAATGAAAGTATGTGCCACCATATTTAGATAGAAAGCCATGTTTGCTTTTTCTAGTTTTGCAAAATTTCTGAAACTATTTTTTTATTTTAAACAATTCTAAATACTAGAGCAACTGAACCAAAGTTAAAACTAATATGTATGTCATATTTATCATCATCCAGAAAATCAGACTTTCTTTCAGCCTCCTCATTCAGTCAACAGTGGAGAAAGCACAAAGCCAAACCATGCATAGCCTTCAGGTTATATATGTAACAGTAACTGTGTAAATTCATCAAACTTCAATTTTTTGTAGAATCTTCAATTGTAATCAAAGAAATGTAAAAATGTTTATCAAATAGTATCCCTTCAAGATATTTCATCCTAGGAAGGAAACATACTTTAGACATGAGAAATTTAAAATGCAAATCACTTCTTCAAATTTACTTGAGCAGCACAGTATAACACTGAAGCCCTGTTCTTGACCAGGCATCTGGGTTCTGTGCTTCTGGGATAGCACAGTTTGGAATTTTAAATGTGGGACCATGGTTGCCACATGCAGCAAAGTGAAATACACATCTCCCATTTATGCTTGAAATTTAGATATGGAATATTATTTAAGAAGCTGGAGAGATGTCTCTGTGGTTAAGAACATGTATTGCTCTTCCAGATGGCCTGAGTTTTTTTTCCTAATACCTACTTTACGCAGCTCACAGCCACCTTTGACTCTAGTGTGCGCACGCACGCAAACACACACACACACACACACACACACACACACACACACAATCAAAAATGTATCATAAAAATTTCAGTAGCAGTTTTATGTCATACAATATTTATTTGGGGGGGCATATTTATCCTACAATTGCTTGCCATCTCTCTAGAACTGAAACTAAAGCAGGCATCTTCTATCTTAGTCCTTCTATAATCCTTCTTGTATGATTGGACAGCAAAACCCCTTTTTGTGTGCTAAGCTACATAAGTCTGCTTTCCTCCATAATTCTTTTATTAAAAAAAAAAAACAAGATGGTGGGTTTTAAAGAAACTCACACTTACTATTTTCATTCATTTAGCTTTTAACCTTCTTTGAGAAACAATTCACCCATGTAAAGGGTACAGTAACAGTGTTGCTTGCCTTAACATGGTCAGAAAAGAGTCTGCTCTGAAAGAATCCCATAGCGAGTAGCAGGCCTCCCCATTTTCCTGGACCTCCAGCCACAGGCCAGCACGGTCACGAATCAGTCCTTCTTCACACACTCACCTAGTACAGCCATCCCGTGTACTGCCTCCTTGCAGCATACCACAATCTGCAGCCTGTTGCATGCAGCGTCTTAGATTTACCGTAAAGCAAGCATCACAGAGCCGTTGTTTATCTTGCCTGTAGAGTACCTTAGTCATCTGTTAGCGGGCGTTTCTAATTCTTATAAACATCCATCTGGTTGCTCCAGGTCTTCTCAGATGAGTGTTTGGGTTTCACAGAGCTGAGGCTCCAAACCAAGCCTTGTGTATCCTAAGCAGGCACTCCTGCTGCTGAGCTGTACTCCTAGCTTTGTCATGCATGTTTTCATGTAAATGTAAAACTTAATTCTTAATCCAGAGGCAGCACGACAGGTCACTGGGGCTATATTTAACTTGAGAAGCAGTGGTCAGGCTGCCTTCCAGACGTACCACTTAATATCCACACATACACATTCCCAGTGTCTGCAGCGCTTGGCAGGCTCTGTCTGCTGCTCTGATAGATGTGTACTGGCATGTCACCGTGCTTTCGATTTCCATGTCACTAACGAATAACAATGTCCAGTCTTTTTTCACGTTCCTTTCACATTTTTTTTTTTTTTAATAAAGTGTTTTCGGATCTTTTGCCCAGTCTTAAAAATGGATTTTCTGTTTTATTATTATTGATGTTTGAAAGCTTTCAAAAATTTTGGATCTGAGTTGTTTGCTAGATTTGTATGCAAATATTCTATCTATCTATCTATCTATCTATCTATCTATCTATCTATCTATCTAAATATCTCTCTTTCTATCTAAACATATCTATTTATCTATCAATTCATATTTCAATTATCACAGTGCTCAGGGGCCTTGTACACCAGGTAAGCAGCCCACTGCCTATCCCCAGCCAGCCCTAGACATAGCTTTCTTTTCAGAAAGGTTTTAAGTACACGATTTCTCTAATCAACACATTGTTATCCACTTCTTATTGAATGGCTTTCGCTCGTCTGTACATTTTAAGAAATTAGTTCACTCACCAACACTGTCTCACACTGCCCTTCCCTCTTCTCCTCCATCCCGTCCATAGACTGCAGAGATTCCAGTTCACAACTTAGGTAAGTTCTTAAGGTTTCATTTCAATTGGAAGATGTTGAGCACTTTGTGAACCCACCTTTAAAGACCAGCTTTTAATCAGCAATAACGCACTTAGCATCCTTTAAGGTATGTCATTACAGTCTATACTAATACACAGTGGTGTCTGTCTTCTGAGCTTAAGTATTCTCTGCCTGCTTGACTTCCCTGTGGTATCTCCACTTTCTCTGTGCTCCTTCTAGATACAGGCTAATGGAGCACTGAGAGCAAGTAATGACACTTACTTCTAATATCTTCTTTTGTATCTAGACTTGTTAATTCCCCCCTTTTTGATGCCATTAAAATTGTGCGTCATTTTTCTAATAAAGAATTTTACATGGTCTTATTAAATCATTTCTTTTTTCCACACACATTCACATCTTTACACTTTTTTTTTTTGTACTCACCAGCTGACTTCAGGGCATAATCAGCCAACTGTATTTGGTCCCCTCTGAACTTTTTAAGTACATAATGTACCAAGTTTGACATTTCCTGTAAAGATTGTAAGAACAGTTTCTTGTTATCAATATCAATAACTGCTTGAATTTTCATTTGTTGTTCTGTGGACTTGGGCCTGAACTCACTAATTTGAAGAATTCTGTTTGAACAGCTCCAGATGCTCTCAGAGCTAGGCACTGATGCTCTCAGATGTCTTGACCACAGCACCGAGGGAGCGACCCTTCTCAGACAACTAATAGAGCTAAAGCTAAAGCATGTTTGGGATGTGGTCACACAGAAAGGAGGGCCTGGGGCTCCCTCTGAAGCCCTCCTCCCTGCACCATGGTACGCTCCCATAGGATGAGCTGGAGCTGGGCCAGGGGTGCTGCTTGTTATCCTTCACTGATATCCATTACTTAGCAACAGAGGCTGGAATAGTCTATAGTTATCTGAGAATCAGGCAGCTTACAAAGGCCAGACGATTGCTTATAACAGCAAATGTTCACCCATGTGAACGAGTGCTGGGCTCTGAAGGATACTCTCGTTCAAAAATGAGCAAGTATCCTTGAGAAGACACAACAGTTGGAGTTATCACTGACTAACTCAAATGCTGCGCCACACTTACAAAGACAACATAGAGCCTGGGAACCATGCAACGCCAGGGTTAGATTTCTACATGTTTCAAATATAGACACAGGGAGGAGAAATTGGTAGAGGTCCAGGCAGTGGGTCAGCAATGCCAGAAGCTTCTGGCTTAAGTCTGGCGCTCACCAGAGACATTGTTCTAAGGGTAGAATGGAAACTCTTGCTACCAAGTATTTGTTATGGACATTCAAAGAACATCACTCCTGAAACACTGGTTGGTTGTTTTGTGGGACGTAAGTTGTATGGCAACACAATGTCCTCTCTGTAACATAGCGTTGATGGAAAGTTAGATTCCCAGGGACAGCACTAGGAAAAGGAAGCCCATCAGGGTATCCCAGGGGACACAAGCTAATGTCAGTTGATACCCTGTTGGTAGAAGAAATGAAATGAGCATCTCACGGCTGACTGTCTCACCCCCATCCATGCCCCAGCCCGTCTTGCCTCATCTAGAATCTCAGCAGTGGCCTGGTCCTGCACATCTTCTCGGTGGACAGGCCAGCTGTGATTGTGTACGCCATCCTTCATGTCTCTAAGCAATGACTTCAGAACATCTATTTGTTCAATTAAAAACATAATTTCACGAAAATTGTTCTCCAAAGTCTGGCTTTCCTTCCTGTACACAGAAGAACCACAAGGTGAGAGGGGAAAGCGGTAAGACGCCTGCCAACAACTTCAGGGCCAGAAGCAAGCAAAGGAAGTCAACTTAAGGAGAGGAAGAAATAGATTCTGCGGGGAGGAGAAAGCAAAGGAGATGGACACTGAGATGGCAAGAGTCAGAGGGTGTCCTTGCTTGGCTTTTTGTACACTGAGTGCTGGGGGTTGGTCTAATGCTAATTACTGGACCTGATGATCTGGACACACCCATCCTTGTGTAAACCTGACTAAGACATACCTGATTGGTTGATTAAACAGCCTATACCTGAGTAGGGCAGAATGGGGTAGGCTGGTTCCCTGGGATTTCGAGGAAGCAGACAGATTGGAAGAGAGGAGGAAGGAGGATGCCAGGATGGGTTAGCCTAGAGAAGGAACCATGTGGGACTGGAGAAAGGACTCCAATGATGGTGTGGAAAGGCCCGGATAAAGAATAAAAGCAAATACCATGGGATTATGGATGAAAGGTACTCCAATAGAAGAGGCTTAAGGCAGAAGCATTGGATGAGGGGGGAGGGTGCTGAGAGGTGAATGGTGAGGTAGAAATATCTGCCTAGCCAAGGTAAATAAGGCAATTATAAAATTGCCTAACAGATGTCTGTGTCTTATTATTTGTGATAGTGGGTTAGATAATACCTCCATGATAATTTTAGGGATAATGGTAAACATTATATAGCCTAACACTTTTTTATTTTCTACAACTACTGAGCATTCAGGAAGCAGCCAATCTCACTTGGTGTCAGTCAAGTGATGTCATACAGGTGAATGCTAAATCCCAATGTCATCCCCTTCTAGCTGGGATGCCCTGCATGCCAAGTGCAGCCCAGCCGATAGAAGTGTTTTTGTTTGTTTGTTTTTGTTTTCATTTTTTAAGCTGTAACCTAGAGATCCATGTAATATCCATACTTGAGACATTTACCTATTAATTTATCCATTTTTTATTTGAGGTTGGCTTATCAGTTGTAGCTTCAAAATAGGGATCTTGCTGCTTCAGCTTTCTGAGTACTAGAACTATAGGAACATGCTAGATTCACCTGAATATGGTATTTTAAACAGATCTGGCTTTTTGTGGTGGTTAAAAGGAAATAGCCAGGAAAAGTACTCTTGAGTGGCATGGCATTAAAAAAAAAAAAGGAAAATTATTTTAGTTTTATACATTTTCAAAAAAACAAACCCCAGTGTTCCACTGTTTGGATTCATGGCAGAGAATGGTACATAAAAAATTCCACTTACTTTAAAAGTTCTATTTGCTCCTTAGGCATGCGAAGCCTGGCCTGGAATAAAGAAGAGAAATAATTCTGAATCTCACCTCTTCACCCACTTGTCTTTCTTCTGAAACCGCACTTGGACCCTTGAAATATACCACAGGACATAAAGAGCATTTCATGTGTGTCTTCCATGTACTCAGTCTGCCATGCACTCCCCATTGTCACCATGTCTGAGAAGGTGGCCTTGTTCACACATCCAATAGAAAGTGGCATTTAGTGTGAACTCAAGGATGGCAGCCTTCTTTGACAGAGGGAAGGGATAGGAGGCCAGGGCAGCGCTGCTTACTGTGGATACACATCCGGTTTCCTGAGGAGGACCTAAGGAGCTGCACCAGAACCAGTTCAGACCAGAACCAAGAATGCGAAGACCGTGAGCTGTAGATGTTATCTGTGGGGTTTTATATCACTGACCTTTTGTCCAGGACCAAAGTTGGTGTGCTGGTTAGGTTTGGGGCAACTTGAAACAAGGTGGAAAGAAAAACCTCCGTTGAGAAGAATCAGATTGTCCCGTAGGCAGGCAGTGGCCATTTTCTTGATTAATGATTGACATAGAAGGACCCAGCCCACTGTGGGTAGTGCCTACCTGGGCAGGCAGGATGGGTAGGAAAACAAACTGAGCAAACCGTGGAGAGCAAGCCAATAAGCAGCACTCCTCCATGATCTCTGCTTCAGTACCTGCCTCCAGGTTTCTGCACTGAGTACCTGCCCTGATTCCCTCCATGGTGAGCTGTAAGGTGGAAGTGTAAGCCAAATAAATCTTCTCTTCTTCTGCTTGCTTTTGATCAATGTGTTTACCACAGCAATATAAAGAAAATTAGGACAGTCTGGAATGCTAGGAAGCGCTATGGAATGTAGTATGGACAGTGAAAAATCTCACTGATATTTCAAGAGCTTCAGGAAAAGGAAAGCATTATTCTGGCTGGAGATGGGGAAGGCTAGCAATAAGGAATCATTTGTCCCCTTTCCCCCTATTTTGGACCTTCTCCTGTGAAGGGGTCAAAAGGTATGGAGAATTTAGGAGATTTCCTAGCCATAAAACCACTTAAAAGAACCCCGCTTGTTGTAAGACTATAATTGGCTAGTCTCACAAAACCAAGTTAATGCAAGATGGACTTACCTTGTGCACAGTTTTAAGTGAATGACATGCAACAATAATTTAATGAAACATCACCTGGTAATGAGAGAGCCGGGAGCCATATTCTGCCATCATGGTATATAATTGTGCAGGTTTTTGAGAAAACCCTGATTCTTTAAACCACTGATGATTTTGAAGTCCTTCAAAGAAAAGGCAAATTCTGATTAAAGAACTTATCTAGAAACACTTCCAAAATACCTTACATGTTATTAATAACCGTTTCTGTGAGTGTAAGAGAGATAGTCTTAAAAATTAGGAGGACAGGGCTGGGGCTGGTACTCAGCAGCCTAGCATCCACCTCACGTATGTGACTCCAGCACTGCAAAGAGAGAGAAAGCTGAGGCAGTGGCTCGGTAGACAGAGTGCATGTTTCACAGGCATGAGGAGCTAAGTTTGGATCCCTGGCAGCCACCTGAAAGCTGGTGTGGCATGTATGTTATAATCTCAGCTCCCTAGAGTTGGTGGTATCTGAGACACTGAATATCTAGAATTCTAGGTTTAGTGAGAGACCCTATCTCAAAAAATAAGGAGGATCGAAATAGGGGAAGATAGCGGACATTGGCCGATGACTTTTGCCTATGCACACAAGGTGCATGCATCTGCATAGATGTGTGCACATACATACATACATAACACACAGAGTTGAGAAGGGCAAGGAGACAGGAACATATTCATAGGTGGCTCATATAAAATGAAGTAAAATGCTCAGTCCTCCAAAAAAAAACATTGAGGGAGAAAGAGAGAGAGAGAAAGGAACAACTGGTTCTGAAATCTGAGACTGGTCAGTAGCAGCTCTGAGACAGAGAACATGAGTTTACTTGAAGGTGGGGCTGTACTCCTACATATTTATCACGAAAATAAAGACAATTGAAGACTGGGCCATTACTGAGATATACACAATGAGGATTGCACATTCCATCCAGAAGTAGGAAAAGGTAAAGAGAGAGAGAAGGAATACTGGAAAGAACAATGGCTAAAAAGTTTTCAAATTGAAAATAACAAATCTGTTCACCAAGAAACCCAACAAATGCTAAGGAAAATGAATATAAAAATTCCACATGCTGAAACATATAATCAAACTGTCAAAAGACAAAGGCACAGAGAACTTGAATACAGCAAGAAAGGAATGCTTTGCCATGCATAAAGATTCTTGGTAGATTCTTATTTGGCTTCTCATCAGAAACTATAGAAGCCACAAAGCAGAGGGATAATGTATTTAAAGGGCTAAAAGGACTATCTGTGTATTTATGGTGCCAGAGAACCTCATATTCGGCAAATTAAAATTCTTTGACAAGAAGACAAAGAGAGAGAGGAATACTTAAACAAATCCCAGAGATCTGTTGTGCTAGTTGCTGTCCTTCAGGTTAAGCAAAAGGGACGTTCTGTGGGGCAGCTCAGAGTCATATGAAGAAGCCAAGATTTCCAGTTCAGGTAATGTCAAATTTAAAAGCCAGCATCATAATTGTGTTGGCCAGCATATTGTTTACTTTTCTCATCACTGAGACAGAATAGCCCAACAGAAGAAACTGTTGGAGGGGGAGACATCTATTTTGGCTAAATTTTAGAGGCTGCTATCTACCACAGTAAGGAAAGTGTGGCCTGGCACCACACGTGATGATGGGAGCTTATGACATGGCTTGTTCACATTGTGGTAAATCAGGAAGAAAAAAAAAAAAAACTTGGAACAGAAGCAGGACCAAGAGATATCACTCAAGCCTACCCCTATTGTTTTATATCTGCTAGCTCCATATCCCAAATGTTTGATAATCTCCCAGAACAATCCTACCAGCTGTACACTAAGTGTTCAAACATATTCAAACTATAATAGATGGTAACTCAGGTTTAATTTCTTAAGTGATGTAAAAGATAAACACACAAAACATAAATGATAAATCTATGCTAATGGTAACTGAGTATTTGCATGATATAAGATAATTTGCTATCAAACCATTTTATCAGTTCTGGCTGTTGTAAATCCCCATGGTAACCATTAACAAAATATTTAACAAGTGTGTGAGAAGAATCTCCAAAGATTTAACACAAAGGAAATTAGAAACAACAAAGACATAGAGGAAAAATAGAAAAACAGAAGAAGAAAAATCTATTCTTGTGGGTAATTAATTTAAATGTAAATGGGTTAAACTCTCAAAGTCAAAAGTGGTGGCATATGCATGCAATCCTGGATGAGGCTGAGGCAGGAGGATCAATAGTCCCAAGCCAGAGCTGGAGAGATAGCTCAGCAGTCAAAAGGACTTGCTACTCTTCCAGAGGACCCAGTTCAATTTCCAGCACCCACATGGCAGCTCACAATCATCTGTAACTTCAGTTTCAAGTGATGCAATGCTATTTTCTGGCCTCCATGGGCCCAGAGATGTAGCACAGTGAAAGATAGCTTGCTTAACATATGTATGGCACTGGGTAGATGGCACTGGAAAAAACAACACACACACACACACACACACACACACACACACACACACACACACTGCTAAAAGAAATTGAAAAACTATGTGAATATAAAAACAATCCATAAACTTATGATCATTAATTAGATCATTTATTATTTTTAAAATGGTAATGCTTCCCAAAGCTATCTATAGATTCAAAGCCACTGGCATTACATCAGGCTTCTAGGCCAACGTGAAAAACTTAGACAGGCATCTATGGCCAATTGAACTTTTGTCAGGATGCCAAGACTATTAAAAATGTCCTTGTGGGAGAATTATTGCTTCAGCAAATGGTGCTGGCACAACTGGATACTAAGGTGCAAAAGAATGAATCTGGATCCATGCTCTGCACCAAAACATCATCGAAATTATAGACATTTATGAACCAGAATGTAAAGTGAAAAATGAAAAGACAGTGTTCACAATGAAAAAGGCATGTTAAAACCAAATGCCTGAGATGGACAAATACAGTAAAAAGGAACAAAAGACAAATTGACAAGGCCTCAGACAACACAAGTCCACAGCCTATAAACCTATGCAAATTAGTCACAGGGAAAATGCATATCAAAAGCACAATGACCATTCTGTAACTACGAACATGACTATAATTAAATTAGGGAAACGCAAAGGGATGGTGACCACATAGAGAAAGGCAGACTCCCCACACACTGCTGGCAGAATGGACAGAGGGGTGCCTACTATGGAAAAACCATCAGCATGTCTTTCCTGGTAGAGCTCCACTACTACGTATTTGCTAAAACAGGCTCTAAAATGAATGTTCAAACAAACACACGTGCACATGTTCATAGCTGCACTAACCCTAGGACCCAAAATGTATGAATAGCCCAAGTGTCTGTAAACGGACAAATGAATTTTAAAATGTGGTATATATATACCCACAATACTGTTGAGCCACAGAAATGAACAACAGACGTATAGATTCTACAACAAAGATGACCTTCAGACATTAAGATTGATAAATGCAAACATACGGAAAATTGCCATTTTTGTCACATATTTGAGCTAGGTAAAGAGGCAGGATGCAGAGTTGTGGAGGAGGAAAAGAATAGGAAGTTACTGACTTGGGGACAAAAAGTTTCCTTTTAGGGGCAGTGGATACCTGGGGTACCTCGATAAAGAAAGTGGTTGCCTAACATTAGTGGTACACCTAATGACACTGTTTATCACTTTGACCCAGTAGAGAACAAAGAAACAATGGCCGGTTTAATTCTTCTGAGATTGGTATGCATCAATGTTTAAGACTGAGCCAGCACATGTGTTGACAAGTTCACCAGCTTGAAATTAGGAAGTGCAAAGAAACTGTTTATATCCATTATAAAGACTCAAATGTGTGTGGTCAAAGATGATGCTATAGTTATGCAAGTGTATCCCCTGAAGGCTCATGTGTCAAAGGGTTGATCTTCAACTTTGCACTACTAAGAGGTGGTCAAATGTTGAAGTGGCTTGGCTTATTAAGTAGTTAGGTCATTGGACGCATGCCCCTGGAGGGAACATTGAGAACATGAAATACTGACGGCCAGGCAAGACATGCCTACAAGAGCAGCAGTGGCATGACAGCTATGAGTTAACTAACCACTTTCTCACTGGATTTGAGACCTGATTCACAGAAAGGTATCGTGTGTGTGTGTGTGTGTGTTACTATAATCTTGGTCAAAAGCCTGTGGCTGGGGAGGTCGTGGGCTCTAGAGTATGAGGTGTTATTGTTATAAATAGACCAGGCTACGTTCAACCATGGTCAGAAAGATTTTTTTTTCCAGTCAACAGCAGTCAATGGAGAAACAGATAACTGATCAAAGTGCTGAGAACAAGAGACCCAGCGATCAGCCATAATGGGGTATCTATGTAAATCCCACTTACCACAAAGGCTCAGGGAACGTCAAAGAAGAGGAGGTAGAATGAAAGAGCTGTAGGATGGGAAGGAGTGCTGTGAAATGTGTCTTCTGGACATGACTGTTACAGTCATGAACCCACAGCAGTTGTGAGTACATGGACAAGACCCATGCAAGACAAAGAGCCAAAACTCTGGCCTAGATGGGGTAGAGGATGTGCAGGCTCCACAAGGAGCCACGGTAGTGGATAGTTTCTGGGGAGGGAGAATCATTCTGTTTTGAGGAGGCAGGGCTGGTAGGCTTCCCATGCGTCTATGGCAGGATGGGTCCATGTCGGGAGCCGCTCCCGCCATTACAAGATGGCGCCGGCTTCCTGCTTCCTGGTTCTTCTTGCCAGCATTTTCACGCTTCTTGCCTGCACCGCCCTGCAGTTTACGCATGCGCAGCTTTATGCTAATGAGGGTTTAGGCTGCACTCCAATTGCCAGCCATATGCTTATGAAGACTTGAACAGAGCACCAATTACAGACGGACAGGTCGCGCTGCTGGCTATTTAAGCAGAGCACAACCCGGGGTTTGGGTCCTTCACCATCTGCAAGAAAGAGCTGTTCAATAAACTTGCTGCTGAAGAAATCCTCGGTTGTTGCGTCGTCCTTATCGGCAAAGGCCGCGCGCGACAAGTGGTGCCGAAACCCGGGAAACCTGCCGAACCCTGGGCGGAGGAACGCTTCGAAGGACCCCGACTGCTCATCGAGTAAGGATTCAAAGTCAGTGGCGTGAGAACCGCGGTACTTTTCTGCAAGGTATGATTTCTGTGGTCTTGTTGTGTTGTCTGTGCCTTAGTTGTGGGAAACGGGACCATCAAGACAGTCTATCCGAAGCAGAAAAGGGAATTAAGACCGGTAAATCCCCTAAGGATGGGACCAAGGAAGATAAGGCTAAAGCGCTGAAGGTGCGAAAGCTAGTTAAGAAGTCAAAGAAACCAAAACAGACTGGTAGCAAGGAAAAGAAAAAGGTCGCCTCGTCATTGAGCGAGCCGGAGTCTACAGAGAGCAAAAACAGCTCTTCTGAGAATCAACAAACTGATGAGGAATCAGGGCTCGACCCTGACGAGCAGGCAGAGTTGGATGAGGAAGCAGCTAAATATGAGGAAGGGCGTTACTGCCCGGATCCGCCACCATATGTGGCCTATGCTGGCACTTCCGGGTTCTCCATGCGGAAGTCAGCCACTAAAAAACCCAAATCTGCAGAGACAAAATTTTCCCTGATATCAAAAAAAGAGAGAAAGCGGATTAAAACCGCGTTCCCAGTCTGGGAGGACGCTCAGAATAATAGACATCATTCTCCTTTAGATCTTAAACAGTTGAAGGCATTAGCGGAAACAGTCCAGACTTATGGCGTCAGTGCCTCCTTTACAGTGGCGCTGATAGAAAGACTGGCTGACAATGCCATGACTCCAGACGATTGGTACAATACTGTAAGAGCCTGTCTGACTATGGGGCAATATTTAGACTGGAAGTCCATCTTTCACAAGCTGTGCTCAGCTCGAGCTAATCAGAATATAGCAAGTCAGAGGCCACAATGGAGCTACGATATGCTTACCGGCCAGGGACAGTGGAGGGCTAATCAGCACATGCTTCCAGTGGAAGTGTATCAACAAATAAACAAAGCAGCAGTAAGAGCTTGGAAAAGTCTCCCTAATAAGGGACAAGTAACAGGAAATCTTACAAAGATTATTCAGGGAGCGACAGAGCCTTTCTCGGACTTCGTTGCCCGTATGATGGAGGCAGCAGGGCGTGTCTTTGAGGACGCGGAGGCTGCCTTACCATTTGTGGAGCAGCTGATTTATGAGCAATACACCCGTAAATGCAGGAATGCTATTACACCATGGAAGGGAAAAGGGCTAAATGCCTGGATGAAGGCTTGCAGGGAAGTTGGAGGCCCGTTGACGAATGCCGGGATAGCAGCAGCCGTTTTATCTGCACAGAAGGCGGCTGGCATGAAATGTTTTAAATGTGGAAAGATGGGGCCACCTTAAGAGGCAGTGCAGGGCTCCAGACAACCCTGTGAGAGAAAAGCAAGACAAACAACCAGAGACTTGCCCCCGATTTAAGAAAGGGAAGCATTGGGCTAATGAGTGTAGATCCATCAAAGACATATATGGGAGACCGCTTCCGAAAAGATCAGATGAAACGGGACAGTCAAAAAACGAAAAAAAGGGCCCTCGCCCTCAGGGCCCAAAAATATATGGGGCGATCGGTCGCGAGGCACCCCGGTCCAGAGAGTTTGTGAGAACACCGCGATCCAAAGGGCAACTAGCGGATCAGCAGGACTAAACCTCTGCGCCACCACCAGAGCAGTATTAACCCCTACAATGGGTTGTCAGCCGATCCCAGTCGATTTAGCTGGGCCGCTGCCGCCAGACTCGGTAGGGCTCATAGTGGGACGGTCATCTACTGCTTTGAAAGGGCTGATAGTACATCCTGGGGTAATAGATCAGGATTTTAAAGGACAAATTAGAGTGTTATGCTCTTCCCCAAGAGGTATCAGTACTATTTCCCCAGGAGATCAAATAGCGCAATTGCTGGTCTTGCCAAGTCTCCATCAGTTATTTCCTAAAAAAAAAGAGGCCCGAGGAGAAAAGGCATTTGGCTCCTCGGGTGGACAACATACCTTTTTGTCTTTACAACTAGACCAACGACCCATGATGGTTTTAAAGGTTAATAAAAAGGAATTTAAAGGGTTATTAGATACTGGTGCTGATACTAGCATCATTTCCTCCTCTTGGTGGCCTGCTGAGTGGCCTCTCAACCAATCTTCCCAGTCTTTACAGGGTCTGGGATACGAGGAAACTCCCTCGGTGAGTGCAGCAACATTACACTGGGAGGATCCCGAGGGACATCGTGACACATTTACACCATATGTTTTGCCGCTCCCCATTAATCTTTGGGGTAGAGATGTCTTAAAACAGATGGATTTCAGGCTTACTAATAAATATTAACGAGCTCATTCTACCATAAAGATGATTCTCCAAAAACAAAAAGGGGGAATAGGCCCCACTACTATGGGACCTAAGACTAAGATTTCCCTTGTTCTATTCACTATAAATTTTTTAACTTTGGATTCTAAAGGACGGTCTGCTACAGACAGACATATCAGTCATAAAACATCAAATGAAACAGTAAAATAAAAGGATATTCTTGATAATCAATGGAAAGGACCGGATCCTATTTTAATAAGATCCAGGGGAGCTGTTTATGTTTTTCCACAGGATCAAGAAAATCCGATTTGGGTTCCAGTGCGGCTGACCAGAGTGATCAAACAAGATGAGCCTGATTTTAACCCTGATCCTGATCCTGAGCGGAGTGCAGATGAACCTGGAGGTGGAGACCCAGGAGATCCGCTGGGAAATCCTATCAACATTCCCACGACCAATGCCAGTCATGTATGATACACAAGTCTTCCCCCGGCTCTTTACCACCAATGACTCCATAGGGCTACCATATTTGCCAATGTCTCAACAATCTAATTGGTCCGCCAAATTTGATGAGACAATGAGAAAATTACGCCTAGCAATTGTTCAAATTAATTCCACTCGCCTAGATGTTTCTGTTACTCAAGGATTATTTAACTGGTTGTCCTCTGCATTTTCCTATTTTAAAGAATGGATTGGTGTAAAAATGTTTGGCATGTCTATGCTCGCGGGGCTGTTCCTCTGTTTTTGGTTGCTCTGCCGTTTTAAGAGACAGCAACATCTTAAAAATGTGGCCATGGTGCGGGCTATGCTGGCTGTGGAACAGGGAGCATCTCCCCAAGTTTGGCTTAACATGCTCAGTCGTTGAGACACTGTCTGGACTTGTAGCACTCCTGACGGGCACAGGTTCCCATTGCACCAGGATGCTGTTCAAGACAGACTTCTGCACCTCCCAGGGCTCAGGTTCCCATTGCACGGGACTCAAGGTACAGAGGGTCTCTTACACCGTGTAAACTCCTTGATCGCTGACGCTGTTGGCTCAGCAGGCTGATCGGTAACCTCATGGTGTGTTATTTTTCTGATTGAGATGGCCTTTAATATATATAAAAGGGGGAGATGTCGGGAGCCGCTCCCGCCATTACAAGATGGCGCCGGCTTCCTGCTTCCTGGTTCTTCTTGCCAGCATTTTCGCGCTTCTTGCCTGCGCCGCCCTGCAGTTTACGCATGCGCAGCTTTATGCTAATGAGGGTTTAGGCTGCACTCCAATTGCCAGCCATATGCTTATAAAGACTTAAACAGAGCACCAATTACAGACGGACAGGTCGCGCTGCTGGCTATTTAAGCAGAGCACAACCCGGGGTTTGGGTCCTTCACCATCTACAAGAAAGAGCTGTTCAATAAACTTGCTGCTGAAGAAATCCTCGGTTGTTGCGTCGTCCTTATTGGCAAAGGCCGCGCGCGACAGGTCCACACCTATTTGCAGATAGGCAGCACAAACTGGACTTAGTGGTTTTCAAAAAATAAATTCTAAAGTTGGGAGTGCAGCACGAGGCAACTGGAGGGGGGAAGTGGGGGAAAGACAGGGCCACATTTCATTACATATTTATAAAATTCTCAAAATAATAGAAATGTAAAATAATGGAACTAAAATATTATGTGCCTATGTTAAAAGACCATGATGAAACGTATTGCTGCATATAATATATGAATAAAAGCTTTTAAAAATTGAAAAAATCTCCAAGCTGAGTCACTCAAATTTAGAAAAGGTAAAATATTGGATGTTTCTACAGGATTCTTTCCTTTTTACATCTATCTATCTATCTATCTATCTATCTATCTATCTATCTATCTATCATCTATCTGTCTGTCTGTCTATCCTCTATCTCTCTATCTGTCCTTTTATCTATCAATCTATCATCTATGTATGTATGTATCTATCTGTCTGTCTATCATCTATGTATGCTTAGGGATGAATGTGCATGTACCTCAGCATGTAGGTAGAAGTCAGAAGATAACTTGATGGAGATAGTTCCCTTCTACTTTGGGTGTCCAGAGCCCAAACTCAGATTGTCAGGCTTGGCTGAAGAAGCCTTTACCACCTGAGCCAGCTCGCTGGCCCCATATTAGGGATTCTTAACCTCCGTGCAACTTCTGTGCTCCTTTACATATATATTGTGGCTTCTGGTTTTGTGAGACTTCTATGTACGAACATGTCTCCAAATCTGTATGTTTCTCAAGCTTTTTCTTTGTCTCTTTTTTTTTCTGTTGGTTTGTTTTGTCCTATTCCAGTTTGTTTTGCTTTTTTTATACTATTTTATTTTATTGTTATCCTTTAGATGCCTGTTTGTTTTCTAACCAGAGAAGGATAGTGTGTGGATTCAGAAGAGATGGGAAGTAGGGAGGGTCTCAGAGGGTTGGGGGAGGGGAACCTGCAAGCAAAATACATTGTATAAAAAATCTATTTTACATAAAAATAAACTGTAATACTTACAGAAAGATGATTTTTCATGTTATCTAAGAAGAAGCCTATCTTACTTTTAGAGTGGGACATGAAAGGGGGAAAGAAGCTTGAAGAATGTGCAGATAACTTCCAACAGGTCAAACATGAGTCACTGCACCGAGCTCTCTCTTGCCACACAGTCTAGGAATCAGTTTAGAGATCATTGTTGCTAAGACTTACCAAAAAGAAGAAAAGTTGTAAACACTGTGCTCAGCATAATCTTCCATGATCGAGTTAACCTACAAAGGACGAAAAATGTTAGGAATTTAACAGTGTAAGCCATTGCTATTAACTTTTAACTTGGACTTTAAACTAGTCAGTACACCCAAGACAACAGACTTGATTTGTCTCACTCCCGGTTTCTCTAGATTAATTCCATGAGCTTTTTTCATTCCTGAACTGTGGTAATTGAAACTGATAGACAGTAATTTTCATTCACATTCTTCCTTCACACACGTGTGACTGTGATGTCATTGGTTCCTATTTATGGTCTTTAAATGGTTGTAAGCAAATAAAGATTTTCGAGAAGTCAAAAATCGCCTAAATGACAAATGACTGAGGTTCAATTGGGCCACCAGACTGGTCCCCACACTGACAGGGTTGGTGGTAGTCCTTATGTGAGTGGAAGAGACCAGGCTGCTGTCCACGTCCATCTGGACATGGTCAGAAGGTGGTTGTCTTCAAGACAGACAGAGAGCCTCTACCTGAGCCATAGTCACCTGGGACCTGGACTGAGCTTCCTCAGCTTCCACACTGAGAAAAATCAACATCCTTGTTAGTCTCTGATCCTCTGGCTTTTTACTGTGGTCCAAAGACAAATACACCTAATCTACTAAACAAGCCCTCTGTGTTTAAAACTACCACTCTACAAGTGCCTCTCCTCAGCTCTGTCCCTGCTCATCAGGTCCGTCTGCTTTTGTATGGCTGTGAATAGGCATACATGGATAGTTCCATTTGTCTATGTGCCCCTCCTCAGCACTGTAATTGTGAACTATCAAGCTGTTGTATGTGGTTGTAGCTCACCATTCTTACGAGTGCCAAGTGTCTTACTATTCAGCTATACCCCAAGTTCTCAAATTCAACCTTAAAAAAAAAAATCACTGAAGAAAAAAAAAAAAGATGTTAAAGCTATTTGAGTTTTCCAGGTTGGCCAGCTAAAAATTGATCCTTAAGAGTTAAAACAAAAACAAAAACAGTCCAAGCATGGTGTTGCACACCTGTAATTCCAGCACTTGGGGAGGTAGAGGCAGGTGGATCTCTGTGAGTTCAAGGCCAGCTTGGTCCACAAAACTAGTCCAAGACAGCCAAGGCTACACAGAGAAATCCTGTCTTGAAACACACACACACACACACACACACACACACACACACACACACACACA